AAACTAGACTTTCGTATGAGTTTTGATCTCAATTTTCGTTTTGGGTTTACACTCAAGACCTTTTTTAAACAGTTAGAAACCGATGCACCATGATGATAAAATGCTTGTTTGAAGCAGTATCTTCAATCGTACAAAGATGTTTTGTTGCATTTGTGTTAGAATGTTGCTTAATTGTCAGGCTTTTTTATAGAAAATATATGGGAAATAAGCAAATGAAGGCAGCCCTAAACCTCATTTCCAAATCAAGTTTTTGCTTTGGGTTAACACTTTCATTCCACTTTCATCAATCATCTCCACTTACAATCATTGAAGTTAAACTTTCTGAATAACAACATTTTAGCCTTGTACAACAGCATTTCTTCAAGAAAATAGTTTTTGGCGCTCACTGCTTGAATACAAAAGTAATTTTAATAGATACTACAAGCTTAAGCTYGTATCTGTAATCATTAATAAAAGAAATAACAGAATGATGTACTGAATTATAAATCTAGAATTACACTTTATGATAATTTGTTTTTTCATCTATTTTTAGGACCACGGTAAAAATGAGCATGCCAAACAAATATTGTTGATGAGACAGGATCTTAAAGAGATGGATGACAACCATACAGACATTGCAGGTACAACCATGATTGTTAGTGTGAATGAAGTCATCCTTTTATCCATCTATCTACTCATTCATCCATCCATCTGTTTATCTGTCCAGCCGTTCACCCAACCTTTCATCCCTAGGCCTCCTTCAGTCAATCTATCTCAACTAGCCCATCCATCCATTGATCTATCCATCACATCAGTCGATCAGTCCAATCATTCATCCACTCATTTGTTCAATTATTTGTCGGTGCATTCATTCAATTTTCAAATAACCATTCATTCATTCTCAATTTTTTTTCCATTCGTGCAGGGCATATTGAAAGAAGCTTAAGGATTTCCAAAGAAGAAATAGCAAATTATACTGAAAGTACCTTGGCAAAGCAAAAGGATATTGCTTCTGAGGTGAGGATTGATCAGTAACAAAACCATGAACATTTATCGAACACTGATTCCCATGTAGATGCAACCTCTATCTCATATGATGAGTCAGGCACGGTTAACTCACAGATTGAATCCTGAGACAGCCTAGCTCTGGTCTGATCTAACTCAGGGCATGACCAACTCACAGATTAAAATATTGCAATTTAGCATGTTGGAGTTTGAAACTGGAGAAACCTGACAAAAAACCCTCAGGAAAAGAACACCCAACAAACTCCACCAACCTGCATTATGCCAAATCCATGAATCAAACATGAGATCCTAGTTCGTAAGAGGCAAACTTACTACCACTACAAATACCCTCAATTCTCAAAACAATTTAGGTTTTGGCTAATATCTATGAGCTAAACTTGATGTAAAGATGTATTTAATGAAGTATATTTAATATAAATTTTGAGAATTATATTATTTTCCTAAAATATTCCAGAAAGCTACGAAAGCCTTGGATAAGTACTCAAGGTCTGAAATCCTTGACAACAGATGGCTAAAGAAAGAGGTTAATAAATCCCCCTCTATACTATCACATGTCGTTTTTCTTTAGTTTATTTCCCATTTTTCCATTTCAATCTCTCATTTCTAAAGCTGTTACACAATATGAACTATAAGCAGGTTGGTAAGTGTGCTGCCTGCTAAGCAAGAGGTCCATAGTTTGATCCTCAGTGACCACGCACACTTGTTTTAAGGAGCAAGTGTGGCTTAGTTGGTTAGTGTGCTGCCTGCTAAGCAAGAGGTCCATAGTTTGATCCTCAGTGACCTCATACACTTGTTTTAAGGAGCAAGTGTGGCTTGTTTGGTTAGTGTGCTGCCTGCTAAGCAAGAGGTCAATAGTTTGATCCTCAGTGACCACACACACTTGTTTTAAGGAGCAAGTGTGGCTTGGTTGGTTAGTGTGCTTCCTGCTAAGCAAGAGGTCCATAGTTTGATCCTCAGTGACCTCACACACTTGTTTTAAGGAGCAAGTGTGGCTTGGTTGGTTAGTGTGCTTCCTGCTAAGCAAGAGGTCCATAGTTTGATCCTCAGTGACCACACACACTTGTTTTAACAGAGGCTAAGATGCTCACCAGTTGCTCACTTGGAAAGCAGCTACTGGCATAACAAAATTATTTACATTGACTTTTCTTCAATCAAAGTTCCAACATTTCTTTTTAAGTCTCCTTCTCTCATCCCTCAATTCATTCATTTGTGCAACAGAGTCGTCCATACTCACCCTCTTTTATCCTAATTTATTTAGGTGGCAATACACCAAGAAGGCCACGAGGAATTGATTGGTATTGTGGAGGACCTGGAGAAACGAAACCTGGATATCATGAGTGAGCTATTTGACTGCAAGATTGAAGACCTTAAATATACAAGGTATAGGGTGTTGCCATTAGACGTCATTTCCGGTCTCTCATGGAATTTAGTAAAACCAGCTTGGTGGGGCAGTGTACAGTCAATTCAAAAAATGTTGTCGACTAACTCAAGCCTACGCGACTGGACCAAAAGGAACTCTGGGTAGCAATCATTGAAGCCGAGTTGACTGCATAATTTTATCTGACTAGTTATGCCTGGTTTACAGCACGAATCTTCGTAGGCGAGCGGGAAGTGTTGAAGGAGACGTTTTTTTTTACGGAGTGGCTATTCGTACAACACCCGTACGGCGACTAGCATTTGCTATTCGTACGGGAGTCAAAAATTTCGTCGATTTTCTCGGGAACTCTGTATTCTTTTCCAACCTAATAACGATATTTTTGTTTAGACCAGTTACGCGATTCATGTCAGTGGTGTTATTTTGATTCAAACTTATTTGACAAGTCTGTACTCATTAGTAGCGAGCAACTCACTTCTGAGGTCAGCGTCACGGCGGGAAACGTCACGCAATAGAATTTCTGACGACTCCCGTACGAATAAACAATCGCGAATAATTCGTACGGGAGTGAAAAATGTTGGTAAATATTCGCTGAACCGACTCCCGTACGAATAACGTAGTTTGTGGAGGGAGGAAAACCCGGAGAACCTGGAGAAAAAACTTCGAATAAAGGAGAGACCTAACCAGCTCTCCTCCAGGATTCCATGCACTACCGCTGCACCACCCTTGATAGTTTTGGATTCCATATCTTGAATTCCTCATTTGTCGAGTAGGTCCTCCTAATATCAGTTTGCTCTAAATATTCAATCCCCAGAAAGTTTTACTTGGCTTGCATTGAAGACCAAGAGAATTCCGAAGACGAAGACGAGTATGATGAAGAAACGCTTGCTATAGATGGTGTAGTAGGCGAGCAAACAGAAAAACCTGATGATCTACTCGATAATTACTTCTTACCAGGGGAGGAKGACTTTGAGGTATAGTTTGATAGCTCCAATACAGGGAAGAGGAAGGAGACATAAAGTAAAGGCAGCAACGAATGTTAGTCATTTTTTAATATAATTTTTAAGGGCGTTGGTGGATGATTAAATTTATTTCAAGAAATTATCCCCGAGGGGATCAGTCAGCCATTCAGTCGGGCTTTCTGCCAGTCAGCCAGTCAGTCAGTCAGTCAGTCAGCCATTCAGTCAGTCAGTCAGTCAGTCAGTCAGTCAGTCAGTCAGTCAGTCAGTCAGTAATTGTTTCCCACTTTTTTCTTATCTTCACAGGACTCACCTCGTCTCGGCCCCATGGAACTACAACTACTCTCTTTAATAGGAACGCCCAAACCCATTCACCGTTTCGACCTATCAGATGAAACCGGAAGTCAAGTTCGACCAGAAAACTACGGGGATCCAAAAAGCTGGCCAATATCCAATCAAATGCTCTCTTCCATGATCTCTCAATAAAATACTAGGCGATCTAACATTTCAAAATACCCCTTGATAAAGGTCCTTTTAGGGAAAAGGTTGTAGGAAAACGGCTCCTTGCCAGGGAAGKGGGAGGGGTAAAAAATGTTGTTTTGCCCATTTTAAATTTGTAATGCTAAATTATTATTTATTGAAGCCTGCACCTTCATTTTGAATAGTTTAATCCTGTATCAGCTCTTTATTATCAATAAAAAATATTTTGTTTGTAAGCTTTTTTCTTGTTTAAATTTGGTATGTAGAAATGGCCGATCATCATCCCTTTCCTTACTTTTTTCTCTTTTGACTTTTGCTCCATGCAACCACTTTTTTTTGAGTGAAGAGTAATTTTTGAGAGCTTGCTTTTTTAGATTAATAGTAGCTGCCAGTTAAAGCAATATATCGATAAATCATTTTTTCCATAACTTTCCCTTACCTCCCCTCCCCTTCCTATATTTGTCTTTCACCCCCTCCCCCAGAGCTTCAACTCGGTTTTGAATTCCAAGCCCTTTGTACAAGGGTGGATCCAGGGGGAGGGCAAAGGGGGGCTTCAGGAAAGAAAAAACAACTGAAGAATTAGATGCTGTTTTAATGTTTTCCGTTGTGTTGACGGAAGAAACTCAATTAGCCCCCTCCCCCAAACTCAATTAGCCCCCCCCCTAAACTCAATTAGCCCCCCCAAACTCAATTAGCCCCCCCCCTAAACTCAATTAACCCCCTAAAATTTTGGCTGGATCCGCCCTTGTAGTGGGGAAAAAGTAATCAACATTCAAAACCTAAGCTCAACGCATCTGATAACCAACATTCCAGTGCACAAAACATTGTTTTCTTTTGCGTTTCAAATGAAGAATAAAATAAAAGAAGTTGATAGCTCAGAATAAAACAAGAAAGGCGCGAAAATGAGAACAAAGCGTGCGGACTGAGGTATTTGACATTCCTGCGAATGCGTTCCCGCCTTAATGGAGCGCCGTGATTGGCTGAAGCCAGCAAGGCGCGTAAATCAAAATTATATTTGTGGCGTCCAGTACTTGTTCTTCATTCGGCTRTGATCCTTTGTACGATCAGCTTTGTGGCAAAAAAAAAWGAGCTTCTTTATGGAAAAACATCTGATGTTTACTCCAAATCACGTAAATCCAGCCATAACAGACTTCAAAAGATACGAAGGGTTCTTCCCAGAGATCAATGAGAGTTCTTGTGATCGTTTTTCGATGGTAAAAGAGAAAGCAACGCAGAGTCCGGAGTCGTCTCGTAGTCTTACTTCGAGCTTCTCTTTCACTGATGATGGATTATCGAACGCCTCATCTTCCTTCTCCAGGTAATCATTTTAATATCTTCTAATTCTGATAGAAAAGAAATACCAAATCAAACAAAACCTTTCCTAAGTATATTTTTTCAAAGCTATTCATTCAAAATGGATTCCAAGAGAAGACGAATCAAACTGGTAGCCATTTTGATTTTGAGTTCAAGCTTCCTAAAATTTAACATCGAATTTTTACAACAATTTCAAACTTTCAAATCCTTATAGCATTATTTTAAACCTAAGTTATTAGTTGTTTATCGAAATCAGAAACAGCCGTTTTCTTAATTGTCAGGTTTGTTTTAATTTGGTCCTTTTTATCATAACAAAGAGACGAAAATCATGCCATTTTTCATCAGCATAAGAATCAGCTAAAATGCTTAAAATTAAACATCTAGATTGTTAAGCTTAAAGTATTTTAATGGGGTTTTCAATAGCATCGATAATTGCATTCTTCTAATTTGTAAACAAAAGTTGATTGCACTTCTTTTAACAAGTTTAAGATTTWAAAAAATGTTGATCTATTCACAATATCTATTGTGTAAAGTTTATCCAAAAGATTCCAGTTTTATCATACACAAAATACTTTGTACTAATATTTTGAACTTATTTCCTTTTTACGTTTTAAACTCGGCAATAACTATAATATTTATCCTTTAGCTAAACATTTGCTTTCTAAAATATTATTTTGGAAATATTTTGAAAATATTCATATAAATTTAGAGCGATTTTCTTGCCTTCCATTCTTTAAATTTGATGTTATAYTAAAGCTTATTTCTTTAATTATATTAGCCTATTTACTAAATACTAATTTTCTAATATCGATTATCTTTCTATGATAGTGGAGAAGATAGTCCAGGAACGTCCAAGTTCAGTGAAAGTTTCACGAGTTTCTTTGAACAAACCAAAAACTTTCTCAAAACCCCCACGAAAGCTTCCATCACCCGACCAAGYCCACGAAAGCCCCTAAAACCGATGAAGAGCGCCAACGAAAGTGACCCAGACTTCAGAGGGGTGACACTGCAGATGAAAACTAAAATGACCAAAAGCAAGCACACTAAGAAACCCAAAGCTCAACTGGTCATAGATTGCTGTTTTTCTGCCAAAAAGAAAAAGCCTATCACCTCTCCCGACGGGAAACCCTTGAGACGAAGATCCTCTTCCCCCAAGTTCAACCCAGCTATTTATAGGCTAGGTCAGTCGACCCCAAKCTATTTCACTAACGACCCGTGCTTCGATCCCGATTTGGGTGTGTCTCCGCTACAACTAGAGAAAGAGTGTGCATCCTGTGGAGCCATAAAGACACCCCTATGGCGTGATGCCGAGGACGGCACCCCTCTCTGCAACGCTTGTGGTATCCGATATAAGAAGTATCGAATCCGCTGTCTGCAGTGCTGGTACATCCCTAAGAAGGAAGAGAAGGCGTTGCCATTTTGCCCCTGCTGTAGCCACTCGTTCAAGGTGAGCCTGACGAGAAGAGGTAGTGCTAACAGCATCTTCGACTAAAAAGGATTATATAGCTATAAGATCATACGGATCGATGCGAAACAAAAACTTGCGCATGCCCCTGCACCGGCAATTTAATCGTCTTCGTGTCCCCGAAGTAGAGAATCTTATTACTTAAACATATATATTATACAAAATGATGTGAAACATTGCAGAGAGACATGGGAAGTTATTCTTCGGGTTTCGCATTGATCAGTCGTGAGATACTCACTATTCTAGTATGGTTATAAGTATAATAGTTTGGTCATAAAATGGTATGTAGAGTGAAAGATATTTCCGGTGAAAAAGAGACAGAAAGAGAGAGAAAGAGAGAAAGAGGGAATGAGGGTATGTGTGTTGAGAGTTTTATAACTTTAATATTATAAAATTTTGATTTCTTAAGGATTTTGAAAATTTAATGACAAAGGGAGGGCGTGGTRACTTCATTCAAAAGGTTGAAAATCAGATATTAACCTCCATATTCTCCCTTACTTATAAATTTTCTCCTCCTGGCGTTTGGCTCTGCACTGATCAAATGTACACAGCCTTCTAGTTTCTGAATCTGCGCCATCTTGAAAGGTAGTCGTGCCTTTGCATCGAAGGGAGACGAACGGTGAGCTTGCAATGATAGAGACCTTGGACAATTATTCACATGTCTCTATCATTGCAAGCTCACCGTTCGTCTCCCTTCGATGCAAAGGCACGGCTACCTTTTAAGATGGCGCTGGGAACTGTGAAGGGGACTATTGACTTTCAACCTTCCCCATCATTTTCATGACCACTCCTTATCGTTTCTAAAGATTTTCGCTTCACTTCGATGTGAATGTTACTGTTTACAAACTACAAAGGGAAAGACCAAGTCTTCGTAAAAAATTAATTTTAGGGATAATTTTTTATAATTCTATCCCTACTTTTATATTCTTTGTTACTTTTTATAATAATAAATAATGATAATAACAGCTATTATTAATAGTAGTAGTTTTTATAGTTTCAAAATATCTCTGGTTTTCGAGTGTGGTGATAACATATTGTAATTAAAAAGTATCAACAACAAAAAAAAAAAAAAAAAATTATAAAAAAAAATCTTAACGCCAAGAATCGAGAGTGGAAGCAGAACCAATACGATTGAAAAAAAAATCATTATTTTCAAACATTTTTTCTTAAATATTCATTTTTCATTTTCAATTTTTCCATTATTCATTATTTTTGTATTTTTCAATATTCTTTTTCTTAACTTTTTTTATTTTTTTTATTGCCATTATTCACTGTTCCTTGGTCTTCGGTTGTATTTCAAACCGTTATTCATTATGTTGCTTCCACCCCCTTGAACTTGAACTGATATTCGAACATCCATGTTGTTGCAATAGTAGCATTTGAAATATCTCAAGAAGCATCTTTTTTTAAATATTAGAATTCAATAATACATTCATTCTGTTAAAAAAGGTTTTAAAAATCAATAAAACAGCCTGATTTCTTTCTTCGTAGAATAAGTTAGAAAACCTCAAAAAATGTAACAACTTAGGTTTTAGTCTTCAGAACTTTTTGGCGTTCTTTAATAATCTTTGTCGAATTATTACTAATTATTTGTGAATGTTGGGATTGTAATGACATGTAAATACTAACGGAATTAAAGGTCGAGTACTTAAGGTTGTCCTTGGAAACAACTTTTATTTTAAATACTAGATTTTAAATACACCTACTTCAAAAAACGTTGTCGGTCGAAGATCCAAAATGAGAACGAGTAGCACGCTGCAAATATTAATATATTTACAGCCGAAAAACGTTAAAAAATTTACATTAGAATATGAAATGGGCAGAGAACATAAAAGCACAAAAATTCTGTTCACTCAGATTTTGGACTGACAAAGTTTTTTTGAAATAGGTGTATACCTTTGTGTGAATTTTCTTTAACTTTACGTCTGCTAGTCATGGAGAAGGGTTGGACCTTGGCATCCATAATCAGTTCCCTACATCAACGGTATGTAAGGGATAAGGGACGGACCATTAGATTTTTGAGTGGGGTGGGGCTGGGCAAAAACAAAAAAAAGTGAGTGTTCATAAAAAGACTCCCCCCCCCCCYCMAAAATTCCTGGACCCCCCTGAAGATGTTGGCTAAAAATGTTTGCAAAATGTGGGGTTCAATAATCCTTTTCATAGTCTAAGAATCGATTCCACTGCGCATGCGATTTTATCCCGAATTTCTCACCTTCTTTTGTTCTTAATTAAACAAAAGGTGAGAAATTCGGGATAAAATCGCATGCGTAGTGGAATCGATTCTTATACTATGAAAAGGATTATTGCCAGGAATGGGTCGAAATGTCGGGTAAAATGTTGGATCCGAAAATGTTGGGTCAAATGTTGGATCGGTTGTCAGGGCCTTAACTTGTTCCTAAAGACAGTAAGCGTCTAGGAGAATAATATACAATATAAGAAAGATAACCTTGATACAAGTTGAAGATACAAGTATTTATTATATGGAAAGCTGATCCAGATGTAAAGCAATCTGATTGGTTCCCTGACCCTTTAGAATCCAGGTACAGTCGAGTCGTCATTGCATTTTGAAGTTTAAAATTTCTTTGTGTAGCATTACGCATTGCATTAAAAAAAGTAAAATTGTATTGGTAAAAGAATATCAGCCTTATTCTTTTATTTTCTGTTTTATGATCTGTGCTAAAAAGGGACTAGTGTTACTATTAAAGCAGTTTTCCTATGACTGCGAAAAGCTTGCAGCACGAACACGGCCGTGACACGGCAAGGCATATGCCAGACCTATAAGATTGCTCAAAAATTTACTCTCCATCCAATCAAATGCCCAAAACACAGCACGGACATGGCATGGACATAGACATGCCAAGGTCAGTGCACTGTCAGACCAATCACATTGTGCAAGAAAAAAATCTGCCAATCAAAATTCTAGAAAGCACCACGGCCGTCATTGCATGAAATACACACAGCACTGAGCTTTTTAGTCAAATGAAAACTGCTCTAGCTTACTATTTTTTCACTGGCCAAGTACATATTTACTCTACTACAAGAAAGCAAGAAAGAAGACTAAAGGGAAGAGATGTCTTGCAACAACAGATCTACTGTAATGCCAGGGGACCAGCCTTTGCCATAATAGGATTTATCGTCTGTATGTGCAGCACTATATACAATTTATGAGCAAGGAATATCAATTGTCTGTCCGTCTATCTGTCTGTCTGTCCATCTGTCTGTTAGGTAAGCACATTAGTCGTCCAGTTCTTCCTAAAAATAAAAATAACAAAGAAATTACGATTACTTTGTATATGGCATGACCTTTCATTATTCAAGTTTTAGACCTCATTATAGACCAAATGTCATTCTCTTGAAAATAAGATTCTTTGTTTGAGTTGTATCAATATACATGTGTCTTCTTATGTGTAGCCATTAAACAAAGCTTGCTCCCGCAACACGCTCCCGCAACACGCTCCCCCAACACGCTCCTGGAGCAAAGCTCCCTCGTCTGTACCATCGATTTCACGCGGGGAAAAAAAAATGCACAACAACACTTTTGCTTTTGCTCCCGGGTTTTGCTCCCTCATATCAAAATGGTTAAATATGATGGAGCACGCTTGAGGAGCAAATCTGTTGCAGAATCGTGTTTCAGGAGCAAGCTCCCTCGTGTGTACTGAAACTTTTATTGCCGCGCAACAACCTGTCTCCAGTTGGCCAATCAAATTGCCTTATTTGTTGATAACTAGTTCCCATGCTCCAATCGGGTTGTTTTGGCGTTTAGTACCCTAGTGTGTACTGGTCTAGCAAAATGACCCAGGATTACCCAAGAGCGTGTTGCAGGAGCAAGCTCCCTTGTGTGTGCCAGCCTTTACAGGCAAAACACCATTTCTCTATCACATTGCTTTTTAAAAAAAWGCAAAAACTTTCAGTTTAGAGGGTGCTGAGGGGATGCGGATGCCTACGGGCCTGCAATGTCACCATAGTGATGAGATATCTCCCTACCTCTAGCTCTCCTATGCTTGGCTCTCTTGATCGATGACCAGCTTTTTTGACTCTCAGTTCAATTCTGTATAGGATTCATAAAAAAGCCGTTAATATAAAATACAGTACAGTACATCCAAATTCCACCAATATATCAAACAATCTTGCAGCTCTCGTAAAGCTGATTCTGGTTTTAATTGTGTGTTTAAACCTTTTCATCCTTCACATGCACTCATGAAGGTCCATGTTTGGACCAATAAATCTGTTTTTAATACAAATTATTTCAATTCAATGTGAAGTTCCAGAAATTATCCATGCACCCCCACCCCCACAGGGGAATTGGGAATTTCCGAGAGGGGGGGGGGGGTGGACAGAGAAAGAACAAAATTAGAGGTTGTAAGGAAAAAAAGTGGCATTTCTGGGGGCTGGGTATTAAATACCTGTGTCTCTTGTGTTTTCGCTTTTTATGAGATGCTAAAGAAACAAAAAAGAATAGATAAGTTATTGTGTATTATTAGTGCACATGCGCAAGTTGATGATGAGTAGGGTAAGGTGAAATTTAAACAGCATCCACTTACTAAAAATAGCCCAACTGGGAATTTACATGGGGCCACGTTATTAAGAAATTTCCCTCTTATTTATGCTCTCTTGGCTAATTCTATTGTTTTATGGCGCATGCCGCGCACGTTATTAAGAAGTTTCCCTCTTTTATTTATGCTCTCTGGCCAAATTCTATTGTTTTCTTTTGATTGATTAGTGCTACTTAGCACTAAATATATAGTGCAAATTATTGCACACTTTTAGTGTTTGTACTCTAATGTCTAGACATTACTCCCAAATAATAATGCTCAAATTTATTCCATYGTTTTCTTTTTACTGTTAGTCACTAATTACGCTTGTTTCAATAAACGTCTGTTGGAAATCTGTCAGAAATGTGAGACATGAAATGAACAAATTGTAGGCTGCGAGCTGTGAATTTAAATGTGAAAGAAAGTAATAATTTTTTTTTTTCTTTTTAATAAGTAGTACACAACAAGCTTATATCTATATATGCCACCACCTTTGAACAATGACCTGTGCTTGCGAATTGTATCAGATTTCAGCTCTCTGACCAAGGACATTTATTTGAAATGGATGTAGACAACTTTGTTTCACAGGCCAAATTGAATAACTCCAGTAATATATATACATACCTTTATGTACTTTGCCAATGTGTGAGTGTGAGACATGATTTGGATTTGGATGAGAATGATGGATATGGTTACTATTGACTTCTGATTCCATCACATCTTCTGAACAAACAAAAACAAAAAAAACAAAATTTAAAAAAAAACATAGTCCAGATTGGGGCAGAACACTTGAAAATCTTATCCAGCCCTGATACATAACTTCTGAGGTGATCTAGTACGTAGCTAACTCACAGATTGAATTGAAACTTAATGCATAGACCCCTTGCATGTGACGTCAAAGCAGCTCAATTTAGAGGACAAAACAAAAGAATTTCAATCTCCTGAGAATTGGAAACCTATCGTTATGTCCTCTGAATTGAGCTGCATTCCTCAAGTGGTCTATTGGGTTTAGCAGAGAGAGCCAAAACCAGAGAATACAAGAAAAAAATTAAACCAATGGAGAGACCAAAAAAACTCKACTCTCATGGGAGAGAGAGAGAAAGCAAAAGAGAGCAAAACCAGAGAATCAGAGAAAAAAATTAAATCAATGGAGAGATCAAACAAACTCTACTCTCAGGTGATGCCAAGTCTAGAATTTACAAACACAAGACCTTAGAGGTGAGAGGAATGTGTGTATGAGTACTACACCACCTGTGATATTAGGAACTTACTTTTATCTCCCTGAGGATCTGTGAGTCCTCCTGCTGCAATGGCCTATGAAATAAAATTTTCCATAAATAAAGTCATGTTAAWGTCACAACATCGCAAGAATTTAATATTTGGATCTGGGCGATTTGCAAAAACACTGGAGGTTCTTAAAACAGTGTTAAGTAATTCRATTTCATCAAAACATGGACCAGCCAGGCTAATCAAAGTAAGGGCAGTCCTAACTAACATGTTGAACCTGAAACAACCTATAGGCTGATATAAGTCAGGGCACAGCTAATTCTGTGGAAAAAAAAAATAAAGAAAAATCCTTGAATCAAGGGAAAGACCCATCAAACTGAGTTGAGTCCAGGAACTGAGCCCAAAAGCCCAAAGATGAGAGAGAAGTACAAACGATCGCTAATGGTCTTGAAAATTGCATCTTGAAAATTWAAAAAAAACTATCCTGGAATGAATAACTTACAGCATGAGATGTAATAGATGACTTGGAGAATAATCTTTCAGCATCTTTAAATTTTCTGTTCCGTCTTTCAACTTTTGTGTTTGTTGTTCTAAAAGAGAGTTACAGCACAATTGTCAACCTAAAAAAATCTGTTCTAGTTTGCTATCAATCATTTGGGAAAATAAATACAGCTTTTAAGCATGTTTTCACTTGTGTCAAAAAACAACTTCCAGTAAATAAGATTTCTTTTTTTGGTTCGGTTTTCCCTTGCCGTTTTTGAGGTCATATCTGCCCGAAGTGAGATGCTCTGTATATAAAATGCAGGGTCCACAGTGATGTTCAATGAGGAGGGTGGAAAAGACGTTCATGTTATCTTCACAATCATTACACCTGTCAGGATTACCAGCCAAAGGTTTYACTGGACAAGTTCCAATTCTGGCTGAACATTGTCTGATGACCTGCTGTTGTTATATACCCTCTTGTATCAATAGAACTCTTTGGCTCTGGCGTAATGTTTTCCCATTTCAGACCTCATGTCATTCCCTAGAGTATCATTTCTTTAAGGTTTGCGCTCGGTTGCACATGAGAAGACACATGAATATGGATACAGCTCAAACAAAGAATCTTATTCTCAAGGGAATGACACGTAGTCTGGAATGGGAAAACATTACCCCAAGCCGAAGAGGTCTATTTAATAATTATTGCCCAGCAAAATCCATTCTTTGTCCTGAGACTTACTTGCTTGTCAACAGTCTATCCCATCCTCTAATAATGTTTCCATACAGCTGCGTATCTTCCAGGTAACTTCCTTCAAATGCGTAAATCTGTCTTTCTAGGTTCGCTAGGCTTTCCTATTACAGAATAACAGTATTTAGTAACTCTCTTTGCCTTGTGCCCTCCACCTTCTGAAAACYCTGGCCACACTGCTGAAAACTGTTTGACCATTTTTCTATTTTCCATATTCAAGCCCTACATGTATGTAAATGAAGGGGCAGATCCAGTATTTTTTTTAAAGCGGGGTGACTATTATGAAAGTTTTACAAGGAATTTGAGGAAAAGTGGGTGACTGATACAATATACTGAGAAATTWGGTTAAAGGGGGGGAGGGGGGGTGATTAGTCACCCCTTTTACCACCCCATTACCATCCGTCCCTGGAATGTTGACCATTTCCTAATTCACAAACTTATCAACCCTGTTGATCTTCCATTATTTTTAACTTACAAATTTATCGATCCAACATATCTGTATTAAAGTGAAAAAACTAGCTTAAAATATTTGAAAATTAAGCGGGAAAAACAAATCACGCGAAACGTTTCAGTACTTGATTCAAGTATCAATTCTCCTTACATGTCAGTACGAACTTATTTTCTCTCAACCTGACAAGCTCAAATTCTCTACAATTTATAGAGAATTCTCAACATTTTCAGTTATTTTTCGATTACTTAAGTGCTTAATTCATTGACAATGTTTGAATTCCCAAATAAACTTAAAAATTACGTTAATTTTTGACGAAGAACAGTTTGGCGCCACAAATACGTCATCAAATATTCACACAAAAAATCACCAAAAATATAGAGTAAACCAAGAAAAAAGCGGTAARAAGGTTCAAAATACTTTTGAGGTGTCGTTTTGGTGCGAAGTGGGCTACTTACAGCAATATYTGCCCGTTTTTTGATCAGTTCTGCCAGCTCTGTTCGAGTATCTGTTACTTTGTTGGGCGCCGCCATCTTGGTTCACTTCCGATTTTCCACAAAGGTCCCGGATGTATATGAGTCATCTTGGCGCAGAGTATTATGGGAATGTTGGACAAAAACTTTCACTTTTATTCCGTATTTCCTCATCTCTTTACTTTTTCTTTCTTTCGATCCCTTCTTTTTGTTTTTGTCTTCAAAAAGAAACAGTTATCTTTATGCATATTTTATACGCAGAAATTAAAAGCTAAATCTACTTTTCTTCGTTTTTATCATCACTCATCATCATCGCTAGCTATCATCGTTCGGGGGGCGCTGCAAAACATCACAGTAATAACTTAATAACAGTCGAATCTATGCATTTATATTTCATGTGAACCAATATTTTGTGGGGGGCCAGGCAACCCCCAATAATTTCGTTCCGCCCGGTTCTGCCTCCCTCCCYCCTGTACATGCATTTTCCTTCTTATTTCTTTCGTTTTTCTCTTGTTTTTATTTTCATTATTATTTTTTAACGCGGGATCTTTTTTTCCTTTTTTCTTTTTAATTCTCCTTCAATACCTTTTTGTTACTTGTAGCATGCCAAAAAAAAACAACAAAAAAACAAAAAAACAAAAACAAAAAAAATTAAACTAACAATAACATAACAGAAGTACTTACGATAACTATTATTAATAATAAAATATATTTTGTGACGTCATAATTTATGACGTCATAATATTTATGAAAAATTCTTCAGATGTTTCAAGCAAATACCATATAGACAGCTCGAAAGGYCTTGAGTAGTATTTTATTTCCACTAAGCTTTAATAGTGGGAAAATATATTTATTAATTTTTAAAGTTTCTCGAAGGTTAAAACTTGGATTTTAAAAATATTTAGTTGTACTTTTGGCTGATTTTTGCTGATCTCACCTTATTTTCTTTAATTTTTTTGCTTTTCTTACTCTTTTCCTTTCTTTCTTTCTTTCTTTTTTGTAATTTCCGCTTTTTATTCATTTTAAATATTTTTCAGTAACTTTTGTTGTTGGAGTTAATCGTTATATACAGCTAATTGAAAAAACGTAGTCGGGTTCGAGAAGGTCATATCATCGCGATCGAAGCTAAGACTAAAGGATTTTGGGTACTCCGAAATGTGTATTATATTTGCATATAGACATGTAAAAGTGCAGAGTAGAGCAAAGTCGGTCGACCTAGATTAACAACATGCCAAAGCCATGATGCATAAAATGTGCACAGGAAGGGAAAACTGCAATACGCATGAAATTAGCATAATTGTTTGTCTTCCCATGCTCCCCTTCGGTCTTAGCTTTGGTGATATAGCCTTTTTTTGAACCCGACAACGTTTTTCAATTAGGTGTATTCAGTTCTCTTTTGGGTGATCCTCTGGGTTTTTTTTTTATGTTCTTTATTTTTACAAATAGAATTACTCGAATAGTTAACATGGGTAACCATTAATTTATAAATATGCATTATATATTCCGTCCATTCTATCCATTCTTTCGATCCAATCACTGTTTATTTCCATTCGCCTGATATTTAAACGAACTTTCCTGTGTCCGTTCGTGAGCCTTTATTAGATCATCCATCCAGTCCCTCATCACTTCACGGACCATATTAAGATTCTCAGTGTGTCTCTTGTTCTTTAGATTCAAAACTCTTAAATCTTCCTACGAAAATAAGATGCATCGTTTAGAAACATCAGCAGTATTATAATATGTTTGAGGAATATATGGTTCGCTACCGTGTTTATGCAAAACTGTTAAAAATTCTTTTATAAAAACAAACAAAACGGCTATACTTGTGTCTCTGTACTGTGATATAAGAACTCCGAAAGAAGCCTGCGTTCAGCCGGTATAATTTCCTCGAAATATAAACCGGTCTGCGAAACAGCGCCATAATTTGTAGCCTCCTTTGCAGCCTCACAGCGGCTGCAAAGGAGGCTACAGAATTGGTGGCTATGGTACTTTTCTGAGTCCTAATTATAAAAAATATTTTTTTAGCAGTATCCATCAGTCATGTTGTTGTCTTATCCTCTTGCCACGACCAAGATCCTTTGCGTCAAGACGAAAGATTGTTTCCATGTGACGTCATAATGAAATAGGGCAAAATGCGTATTATCAAACAACCTATAATAACTCGTATAAATATTTGGAAGAAGATAGTATGGTTTTTGGAATATAAACTGAAACAAGTAATATGATTAACAGTCGATAATATTATAAAATACTTTTTAAAAAATCGTTTTAATTCCATTCGATTTACACTGAAAATTATGGTTAATCAGTGCCGAATAACCAAAGTAAACAAAATAGTTCGATTATTATCCAGCAAACAAATAAATGGAAGCTTAGTAAAAGGATGTAAGAATTGCGCGTATTTCTCGTCAAAGATTCTGCAGTTTTCTAAGTAAAATTTACCTGGAAAAAAATTAAATCTCATCATTTTTGTTTTTTGATTTTTCAAGCCTAAACCGACACTACTGAATTTGTCAAATTTTGGCCAATGAGAGCCGTTTTCTCTGAACGAAAAAATTCTCGCTTTGAAATATTTACGTGGGTTTAACCGTTTCCTACTCATCCACGGAAGAAATTATAACAGTCGAATCAGTTTTTGTATCGATTCAGTTTGGACTTCTATACTATTGATTTGAAAATATATTCCTGTTGATATAACGGCTGAAAAAAAACTTATTTGGTGAGAATTAATAAATATCTCATCGGAAACGTTTCAATACTTTTTGGGGGTAAAATYCATGATTAGATGAACCAGAGTGTCAACCACAAAAACCCTATGTATTATTTTGACTAATGCGACCTTTGAAAATGTCTCAAAAATCATTCTTATATACCACACCATTCATAGATTTAGATTTTGTTATCAAAGATTAACGTCTCATTAGTAAATTATTAGTAGAACGACGAAAAAAATCTCACCAGTTCGACATTAAACTTCGCAATATCTTCTTGCAATGATTGGATACCATCATCTAACTGTTGAGTTTCCATCCGTTTTGCGTATCAAAAATCGATAAAATCAAAATCATATCCCCTTGGAAAAAAAGTTCTTAAATTGTCATTAGCGGCGAGATGACATTCCGACTTTTGAGTCGTGCTAAGGAATGTATTTTCCGAAAAGCATTATGACGTCATATAGCGTCAGACGTTCTTATTATAATAAGTGCGCATGCGCGATGTGAACTGTCGATCACGTGGTTTTCTTGCCTTTTCGTCGTCTTTCGAAGCATAGACAATGAAAGGTCTGTGTATAAGATTGTGGTTTGTGGYAATAAATCACGTGATTAGTTCCGACGAATGTTGTAACTGCTAAAATAATGTAAACTGATGCTAATAAGAGGTATTTTTTAAAAAGGAAACGCATTTTCGGGCTTTAATTCCGGATGAAAATAGAAACCAGTGAGAAAATAGCGACCAGAAACAACAAACACTTGTCGATTTCAGTCACGGTATATGTCGAAAATACCCAATGTTCACGGCCTCCGTATGAACACAAAATACAATAACCCAAACTGATTTTTGGATATGTTCTAGAAGAACATCTAAATAGTTCATGACGTGAGTTTCATTGAGAAAAAAAGTTGCGCACTTGATTAAATTTTTTTGGCGTAGCAAGGGTCAAATCTCACAGTGAATGCCACTCAATTCTAAATATCATCTGACCGCTTTCAATAAATAGCTAAAACCATTATTTTATACCCAATCAACTCTCAAACATCTCTTCTATCAATTTATAAACATATAGTTTTCATATCTTTTTCCTATTCTGTATGCGTTAGTTGTTTTTGGACCGGTTTGATTCAACTGAAAATTTGCATACTTCTGAGATCGCCGCTAGGCCAACAGTTTTTCTCGAATTTTAGCGGTTTTTTGAAAAACTAACTACACCACGTTTGTTTACTCGGTAATGCCTTCCAGCAAACCAAAAATGAGCAAAATCGAAATTTTGACCGTGACCGGCCGATGCTCGATATTAGTGGACCTTTGCTCTTAATTGTTCTTATTTCACAGCTGGTGGGCTACAAGAAGCAAGAAGTCATACATCAATTCCCGCTATGCAGGTATAATGCTGTCAAAATCTATTTCCAGCGCCGAAAATTTAATCCATCATAATAAGTATAACCTACCTAGAAATATTTTATTTTTCGACGAACATCTGTTCTGAGTCCTTTTCTTATCGTGTGCAAAACGAATATTTGATGCTACTCCGGTATATATTTCCTGCTCTTATTCTGCTTTTCTGTTAGAACTACATCAGCCTTTTTTATTTAATAACTTTAGTAAACATTACGAATCGAAAATGCCTATTTCCGCAACTTCTAAAGGAGATTCCGGGATTACGTTGTACTTTGAAAATGCCAGACTGATCATCGAAAGTCGGTCGTATTTACTTAATTTAATACAGTAATTTTTAAACGCAAACAAAAAGTTCCAGTAATATAATATTTTCGTAGGATGCTATATTTTTAATTTCGTTTGAATCTCTTAACTAATATCAAAGGTGCTGTCTTAAATGTTAATGAATTTTTGGCTCATTTCTTATTCTATTCAATTGATTATTGTCCGAGTTATTTTCACACTTCTTCCTATTTTAATGTTTTCACTTCTCGCTTCGTTTGTTCGGCGTTCTTTATTAATGTTTTTTGCTTTGTTGTTTTCCTTCGTTCCTTCGTTCATTCCTTCCTCATTTATTTTCTGTTTGTTGTTGTCATCACGGGCACTTGTAACACCTGCAATAGGAAGTCAATGTCAGGGGTCTATATGAAAATAAACTAAAGGCTACTTTGGCTACGTATGCTTAAAAAATGACCCAATTATCAAACGATTCAGAAATACAAAAATACAAAAAAAAAAACAAAAAAAAAAA